CATTGAATAATTTAAAAGGGACATATGTGCACGCATACAATCAAAAAATCTAAATACTGTCATATTTGTCTGAATTATAGCCAGAAGAAATTATACTAAATGAAGAGCCGGTTGGGACCAGAAAGAGCTGACTCTTATTGCCCGAGCTAAAGTGAGCCGCAAATTCCCATCAGACCCCACTCCTTCTACCGCAGGGGTAATTTTACGATAAAATGTCCATGATGTGGCCGACATGAATCTACTCAGCCTAAAATCTGACTCATTCACTGGGGAACCCAATATAAGGAACCCATTACCACTTGGCTACTCCCTTCACCACACACTTATACTCTTTACATAGTAGTGTGTATTTTTAACTCCTCTTGCACAGGGTAAAAGGCCAAATGTCACGTCAGTCAGTTCAAGTTCACTTTTCATTTAAACTTTATACCTTCTTATCATACCCACTTTGTTTAGATTCTTTTATTTTATGCTTGTGTTATTGCACATTTTGTTTTTAACTTTTATAACGCACATTTTGCTTTTAACCTTTAAAATTAACATTTTGGTTTTTAGCCTTTAAAATTAACATTTTGTTTTTAACCTTTATAATACACATTTTGTTTTTTAACCTTTAAAATGCACATTTTGTTTTTTAGCCTTTAAAATGAACATTTTGTTTTCTAGCCTTTAAAATGAACATTTTGTTTTCTAGCCTTTAAAATGAACATTTTGTTTTTTAGCCTTTAAAATGAACATTTTGTTTTCTAGCTTTAAAATGAACATTTTGTTTTCTAGCCTTTAAAATGCACATTTTGTTTTCTAGCCTTTATAATACACATTTTATTTTGCAATAATAGAAAGATGCAGGTTTAAATTCCTCACATTCAGAGAAATTAACACATTTGTAATGTAAACAAGCATGACCAGACCGCTTTACTGACATACTGTAAACTTAAAAACTCTACCACCACTACAAAAACAAACGTGATGTTAGATGTGCGATATAAAGAAAAGACAAACGTGCACGGAGTATTATGAATTTATTAAAAAAAAACTCCGAAACATGTTCAATAAACTCGACTGAAGTTAAAGTATTTGTTAACCTACAAGCTAATCTAGAAACGTCCGACTGCAAAACAGCTCGCAAACGCATCACGCCACATATGGTATAAAATAGTTAGATAGCTTCATGCTAACGCTGCCTCAATATCCCTACTACAATCTTACACCAGCATGTGGCTTAATTCAAGGGACTTGCTGCTAAACTCGGGCCACACCTGAATCACCTTAAAGTCCAACAGAGACACGTCACTGAACTACAGGTGAGAGAGAGACACACACGCACAGGTGACGGTGGCTACGTGAGCTAGCTCGCTAACTAACCAGCTAGCTCCCACGCTCCTCCTCTGAATACCTGCTCGTAAAGAAAATAAAACACACACGGTAAACCCACCATGACAAGCTCGGCCCCCAGTAGGTATCCTGTTTGTTTGTTTGTCTGTTTGTTTTTTTAAATTCACAAGCGCTCAGCAGCAGCGTTTACAGTTCACGGTCGGAGAAGCGGACAACGCAGCGGACATATTTACGAGCTCGCAGGAACGCAGCCATTTCGCTGCTTCGCCCCGGAGCCTCGGTGACAGGAAGTCCGCAAGTGTGGCGAAGTTGGGAAGCGACGGAGAGCCAGAAGGAGAGCTGCGTTGATCTTGGGTGTGCTTGTTTTTTTTATATATATATATATCTGTGAGCTACGTTATCACAGATATCACAGAAAATGTACGTGAATGAGTTTTTTATGTATGAGTAAATGTTTAAATGAATAAGTTAGTAGGTAAAATTGATTTATATTTTATATTATATTGATGTTTTTCCAATGCATGATAATAATAACAGTGCAGAACCACTGTAGAGGAGTCTCACAATAACTGCAGGAAGTGTTTTGGGCAGATTATTTCTTGTGAATATTGATCAGAGATTAGTTTTCCTGATTTTAGAGGATTTATTGTCTGTCTATTTAACAATCATATAAACTTAATAGGCTTTTTTTTTTTAACCTTTAGTGTACTGTATATTCCTAGAAGGTTCTATTTGTAAATATTTAGAGTTGTTATTATTATTAGTAGTAGTTGTTGTATAAAAAGGGAATTATCTTCTATTTATTTCTATTAATTATTTATTAATTTGCCAACCAACCCTTGAGTGGGTTGTAGCGGGTCCCCAGCAAAAGGAGGAATATAATATTTTAACTTTTATCACAGTTTTTGGAAGTTGGGGCAACAAGAAGAGAAATAAGTTTTGTTGATTTGATTGATTGAAGGTTTATATTGATCCTAGTTTGATTATTGATTAAACTGTGACTATATGTTTTTTATCTTCAGCTCTAAAAATAAAGAGTTGATTCCTTATGACTTATCTTTTTAAATTGGGGGTCTGTTGTCTTAATCTATTGTTGGGGGTACCGGGCATGAAAAGGTTTGAAAACCTCTGATCTAAGTCGCTGGTTCCTAGAACTCATATCTTGTTTTGATCAGCCTACAATACAAATCCAAAACATATTCTATTTACAATTAAATAGAAACACAAAACAGTGTTGACTTCACATTTCTGTCCTTGTTGCATGTTGGTAGTCACCCATTCGAGTTATATTGACATAAAGTGTTAGTACTCTACAAACAGATCGGCACACTACTGATCACAGACCTGCTCCATATATTTACCGTACAGTCATTCTACTGTGCAGGCCTACCTCTGTGTTGAGCACAGTGGTTGAGTAGCTCCTCTGTCCTCTGGGCGGGGTTACTTCACCTTCATACGGAGACTGTTTCACCTGGTTTGTAAAATACATCACCGGAATTAACTTGTCACTGAAGGACTTCCTTCAAACTATTGGTATCTTCCAGAGTGAGTAGTAAAGTGAGTAAACAAACTCTCTGGGATAAGAAGCTGTAAGAAACACTGCCAGAGTAGCAGAGCTGCAAACAGCATGTCCACTGTCAGAGTAGTAATTTGAAGGCAGACAAGTTCTGCAAGTTAAGTCAGTAAAAACAGCTGGTTTGGGCAGATATTGTCTACGAATCACCGGTGGAGTTTACACAAAAATCTGGATTCCCAAAAAAGTGTTTCTATTTTTTACTTTGGACTACATTTCAGAGGGGAATATTGTAGTTTTTACTTCACTGCAGTTACTTTTTGCAGATCAAAACATGCAAAACGACGAGTTAGGCAGGATAGAAAATATGATACATCATTAAATAATACTACACTGGCTTCACTTTGCAGCTACAATAAAAATACTTCTTATATTGTAGAGTCCATAATGATGACCTATTAATATAAATTACATAATAATATAACACTCTTAAAGGATCAGTATCTTTTCCTTCTGATATCTTCGATACTTTTTCAAGCAAAGTCTTCTTTTGTTTTCAATTGTTTAATTTGTTGCGATGTACTCTACTTTAAATTATGGATCTAAATAGTTTACCCACTATTTCGTGTGTGTGTGTGTGTGTGTGTGTCAGAGATGGAGCAAAGCACATTCACCTTCATACTGTCCTTAAGTACAGTTTTAATGAAATGGTACATCCCTTTTGTGAGGCTTTACATTTTTCCGCCACTACATTTCAGTGGGAAATTGTATTGTTTTTTTATCTATGTTTATTATTGTATATGTGGAATTTTACAAACATCAGAAAAAACAGCCTTGTTTTAGTCAGTTTTTAAGATTTAATACAATTCTAGAGGTGAAAAGGGTAAACTCAATGAGAAGGATGTCATAAGACTAGTAAATATAGCCTTAACTTGTCTTTTACTAATCAAATTGTGTTTAATTTCTGACTATTTACGTACAGTTTTAAAAGCAGAACATATTCATCCAGAGCCTTCAGTTACCAAGCTCCTCTCAGCAGACACCATCTCCACATTCAAGAGTAGGCTTAAAACATTCCTCTTTGATAAAGCTTATAGTTAGGGCTGGATCAGGTGAGTCCTGAACCATCCGTTAGTTATGCTGCTATAGGCCTAGACTATCGGGGGAGTTCTTGTGCTTTCTCGTCTCGCAGGTTCTCATGGATCCTGGTGGAGCCTCCTGTCATGGTCCTGCTAGACTGCCATTACCAATATCACTGATATTAGTGTTATTATTATTATTATTAAGTATTATTATTGCTGCGGTTACTGTTGTTGCTGTTGTCATGTTCATCATCATCAGTCACTACTATTAGTGTAGTTGTTGTTACTGTTGTTGCTGTGCACCTCTCTCTCTCTCTCTCTCCTTGCCCTTGTCGCCAAGTGCTTGCTCATGGTGGTACTGTTGGGTCTCTGTAAATAATGTTTTAAAGAGTTCAGTCTAGACCTGCTCTATTTGAAAAGTGTCCTGAGATAACTTCTGTTATGAATTGGTGCTGTACAAATAAAATTGAATTGAATTGAATTGAATTGAATTGAATTGAATCCATTGTAGTGTTGCGTTTGAGCACCACTTGTGTGTGCATGTGTAAGTATTGCCTCAGGGTCCATAAAAACACTTTTGCACCATCTGCTTCACTGTAGGTGGGCGATTTTACCAGAGAAGAAGAATACGATACAAGAGCATAACTACTCTCTCACTTCCGGCTTTGCTTAGCGCCGTAAAATCTTTCTCGTTTTATGTAGTTTTTTTTTTAAATATGGATCTTTTTTAAAATTATTCTTGTGCAGTGTTGTGAACTAGACTCAATACGACTTGTACATTTCACGAGTATGTATTTAAATTGTCTATGAGTTTGTGAATTACTGTTTTGCATTAATTTTCACCTTCGCGTGCAAAATGCAGACTATAAAAAGGTGAAGACAAAAAAAACAACATAAAACAGATTATATTAATATATTTAAATAGTTATTTTAATGCCATGTTTCAGACACTGACGGTAGTTTTCAGACGGTATGGGGTGTACGATACGGATGCAGTAACTCATCTCATCTCGTTTTGTATCTTTGTCCACAGAGGAGGAGAGCTGTGATTTGTTGCTGGTTTTTTTTTTTTAGCAACGCGAGATTATGATGATCCGACGACAGGGGCCTGGATGAAACTGTATTTATATATTGTGTGTTGGACACAATCCTCCGGACGCTGTCAGTCGACTGAATAATCCGTGAAACCATTTGTTGATCATCGATTACGAATGCTCGGCTATGTGTTGTGATCGATTTGACGCGAGGAGGGTGAGTTGTTGTGCTTCTTGTTTTTATGTTAAGTTAGGAGACCATTCAGTCCCAACAAGGCCAGTATTTTCTCCCTCTCTCTCTCTCTCTTTCTCTTTATATAGCGCTGTAATGTGTTGTCAGAAGCTGGGCCTCCACCAGCACAACACAATTAAGCTTAATTAATAAACAGTGTGAATTATATCCTAATAATTTATGTTTGTTGTGCTAAAATAACGTGAATGTTGTTAATATTAAAGGACGTTTACTAACGGTCGGAGAGTACTTTAAGGACCTCTTCTTTTATCGGTGAATGAGAGATTCACGATATGGTTATTAGAAAAATAAAATAAAAGCATATTGCGATTCATTATTTGTAGGAATGGTTATTTGTTTGCAAATACTATTTTAATTCTCACTGAAAAACACTTAAAAATCATGATAATGTGACATTTGTTTGGGTTTTGTACCAAACAGCATCACAGTGCTTCATTATAATGCTGTTTTCACACATTTTAACAACTTTATTTTAATTGTTAGTTATGGTAGACTACTGATTACCTTGTTAAAATGTATAAAACTGTCACTGAAAGAAATCCTAATTCTATGAAGGTGCAAATATTGTTAACTTTACTTCACTGAAATCTTTATTCTCACTCCAATGTGTGGAGGTCACACAATGATTGGGTTCTCAACTTGTTATACATTTCATAATATCATCTTCTATGAACATGTTCAGGTTTCCCTCTGTTGAGGATTTAAAAAAAACTGCTTTCAACTGCCAGAATACTTTATATAAAGGTCTGTGTGTAACATTAATTGATATAATATTACAGTTTATTGCAGCTCCGTCAGTATTGGTATATATTGGGGCCAAGACATACCAAGAAATTACAGTAGAGAAATGATAAAGACATGTTATATGTAGGTAAATTGAAACTGTGTCTCCATCATATAGTTTTCCGATCATAAAGTGTCCCACTTTGTTGAAGAGCCCGACCAACATGGTACCGATATGTCGGCCGATATAGTGAACTTTTGAATGAAAATAACCCTTTTTTATGATTTCTCACCTATATGACTGCAAAGATACTCAGAAAGCTGTTTTTTTTTAAACAAATAACTTCAGAATATTTAAGTTAAATGTTCTTTAACATGTTAAATAGTTTAACATATACATTGGCAACCAACTCTACACATACTGAGAGCTGCACCTTCTGTCTCACTCTGTGCTGCTTTTTACAGTATTGTAAATCATTGCTGGATAAACTTTGCACTGACACTAGTAAATTACCACAAGCACTTATTCTGCATTGTTAACCAGAAGGATAAAAAAGGTATTTGGACAATATCAGATAATTTCAGGTAACATTTACACCGATATGTCTGCGATAGATCAATATCGGCTGATAATACCGGCCGACCACATCATGTCATACTACATACTATAGGTTTATTTTGTGCCATGTACATTGTAATTAATACAGCTACATATAACATCACTTTCTGTCATCCACCTCTCACCTTCTCAGCTAGAAGGAGGCAAGTCCATGACACCATGAGTCCTCCAGCTCTGCCCGTGGTCTTCTGCTGTTGTCACAGGAAAATTTGGTTGCATTCAGCAGCCGGAGGCAAACGCAGCTCCTTTCTCCACCCGATTATTATCTGCCCCCGTAAGTTGCTATGGAAGGACGAGCAAAATGAATAGATACACTACCATCAGACAGCTCGGGGATGGCACCTACGGCTCCGTCATCCTCGGCCGCAGTCTGGAGTCCGGAGAGCTGGTTGCCATAAAGAAGTGAGTATTCAAGAAATGTAGATTTGTTTGTAGTTTAGAGCCGATGTTCTGCAATCTGCTGTGACTTCTATGGAGTTTAATTTAAATCCCAACAAATTAGTTTATTGTAAAAATTATTTTTCAGAATGAAAAGAAAATTCTACTCGTGGGAAGAATGCATGAACCTTCGTGAAGTCAAGGTGAGTTTCTTTTCTACATTTTTAACTGTGCGTTTGAATAACTCATCAGAATAGACTAGCAAACATTAAATATCACATGTAATATTTCCTTTTTGCTGTCACATCCTGTGACTTGTGTAGAATACAGAAGTTATAAATAACTCCATGATAACTTGATGATTTGTGGGTAATGTAGTAATGATGGTATAATGAACATATTGTGCATTTTAGTCCAGTTTCACATTTTTCTGTTTGTTTTTTTTCACACCGATTTCAAGTCACTGTCTAAATTTCCTCACAGCTCAAAGTCACACACCAGCCTCTAAGAGTAGAAGGTGATTCTTGTGTGCTGTTGGTTTCTTTTTAGCTCTGGTTCCCATCCCCGGCCTTCACAACCCCCCCCTTTCCTAGAGCTTGACCTTAATGCGGCAAAACATGCGTAGAACACGCTGGTCCTTTAGAGTCCTGCTAATTAGATGATAATTACAGCATGTCACACCATACAATATCAAAATCCCATTACAGCTTTTACCCCCTTACTAAAAATGTAGCATGGTTAAACCTATATCATCCCAGTGCATGGGACAAGTGTATATTTCTCCATCTTGCTTTCTATTAATTATTTTCCCCTTTTTAAATTGTAAGCATAAGTCCCACCTTTGCAGCATTTACCCCCCAAACTACATTGTGTTCTTACACTAGCCGTGTTATAACAAGAGAGGTTTTGTTTTCTAGTTGTAGGGCGTGCTTTTGAATGTGCTGCAGTTATCTGTGTGTATTGTCCAGCATGTTTTGACTTACTATTTATTTCTATCATTTATTTTGTTCATGCATTCCACATATTCTTACATGATCTGTTTTTTTATTTTTTTATTCTTTCAGTCCTTAAAGAAACTCAACCATGCTAATGTGATCAAACTTAAGGAGGTAATTCGAGAAAATGATCACTTGTACTTCATATTTGAGTACATGAAGGAAAATTTGTATCAGCTCATGAAAGACAGGTGCGTATTGTTGCATTATTAATTCCACATTTTAAACTATATTTGGTATATATTTGGACAGTTTCTTAACAGTTTTCTGTTTGTTTCTTGCTGCAGGACTCGGTTGTTCCCTGAATCTGCTGTAAGAAATATTATGTTTCAGATACTTCAGGGGCTCGCATTCATTCATAAACACGGTACGTCGGTTTACGACAGCAGGGTGATAAGTTAAATGTGCTACAACAGAAGTCAAGGTGTTCATGCGATGTGTCTTTTGTTAGGGTTTTTTCACAGGGACATGAAACCGGAGAATCTTCTGTGCATGGGCCCAGAGCTGGTGAAAATAGCCGACTTTGGGCTTGCCCGAGAAATCCGATCGCGGCCACCATACACAGACTATGTCTCGACTAGATGGTGAGTTTCTTTTAGAGTAAATATAATGCACTTAAATAAATAGATAAATGAAAGTGTGTTTGATAGTTCAGTGCACTCAAGTCCTAGTACCCTCTCTTTTTGGACCAGGTACAGAGCCCCGGAGGTGCTCCTCAGATCCACATCCTACAGTTCACCCATAGACCAGTGGGCAGTTGGATGCATCATGGCAGAGCTTTATACCCTCAGGCCTCTTTTCCCAGGCTCCAGTGAAGTAGACACCATATTCAAGATTTGCCAAGTCTTGGGTACACCAAAGAAGGTAATGCTTTTCATATGTGGAACTCTTAAAAAGACAGAAAGGCTTATACATTTTTAAATTAAGGATTTTAAGAACAGTTTAAAACGTGGGGACACAATAAGGATCGGATTATGCTCGATCAGAAGAACTAGCTCAAACGTGTTTATTGTTATCCCAAACTGCCACACTGGATGGCAGATGTCTCAAAGAGGGGACACACACACATTTTCCAGCTGTAACCACGAAAAGTGACAAATAGGTGTGTAACGAATAATAAGAGAGAGAGAGAGAGCGAGAAGTTCAAACCCAGCTCGCTTTCTCATCTCAGTACAGCTGACCAATCACAGCATGAAGTGGGTTTGAATATCAGATTGTTGGTTTTTTAAAAGTTACAGAAATATTTGAACATAGTCATCAGAATTGTGACGTTGGAAAGGCGTGAAGGGGTTTCTGAAGCTGTTTGACCATATCAGACCATGTCACATCCAAGTATATTTTACTACTCCTACTGTTAATTAAAACAGATGTTCTTATTAAATAGATGTTATATAAATGCAGTGTGTAAGATTAACTGCGTCTTCTCCCTCTAGAACGATTGGCCAGAGGGATACCAACTGGCAAGTGCTATGAATTTTCGTTGGCCTCAGTGTGTTCCCAGTAATCTGAAGACACTGATCCCGAATGCGAGTCCTGAAGCAATCCATCTGATGACAGACCTGCTTCAGTGGGATCCCAAGAAGAGACCAGCTTCAGCCCAGGTAGTGTCTGACCTACACTTCCCCAGTGTTTTCCACAGCCCTCACAGCTGAGAATGAAAGCTGATGTTGTTTGTTTACAAATCTTAATATCTACCCAGGCTCTCAGGTACTCTTATTTCCACGTGGGCCAGGCTTTGGGCACTCCTCAGCAGATCCTGGAGCAGGGCAGACCTCAGCCAGGCCTTGTGCCGCTGCAGGCTCCTTTGCAGTCACAACAGATGCTGCAGCAGCAACAACCCCTGCTGCTCAAGCCCGTGCCCCCCTCCCAGCCTCCACCTTCCAACCAACACTGCTCCCCCTCCAGGCCTCTTCAGCAGATCCAGCCCTCCCCTGTATCCGCCGCCGCCCAGGCAGCAGCATACCAACGGCACACAGAGCTGGTGCGAGAGCAGCAAGCCAAGCACATCCTAAAGCAGGAACAGACATCACAAGGAACCCCACAGGGCCACCTTCCTTACATTGTTGACAAGAGTCTCCAGAGCAAGGTGAGTAAGTATAGACTGGTTCCATCAAACAGAGACTGACAGCCAGCCATATCTATACAACTACACCATAATAACATCTTTCTTCAAACATGTAATTGTGGGAAATGTTCCTCACGTGTGTGTTTAATGTTGATTTGTAATTTTTAGCAAACGAGGCAGGAGTCAGAAAATGCGAACCTACTGAGCTATCAGCTTAAACCGAAAGGAGGGCGGCGGCGTTGGGGCCACGGCACAGGACACCTGAAGGGTGAAGACTGGGACGACTACGAAGAAACTGATCTGACCTCCATAAGTATTCTCGGGAAAAGTAACTTCTCCGCAGAAAAGTCGAGGCAGGGGGAGGATGCACTGAGCAGGTGAGGCAATGCACTTTAATGATGTACTGTAGTAACGTATAATACATGAACACAACACAAGAGCTGTAGCTTGAGCCATGTGTCTCATTGAATGCCCTCTGTCTTTTAGATATGGAAATGTTCTGGATTATAGTCGGCCCAAAGGAAAAGAAGATGCACCCTTAAACCTGAACAAGACCACAGCCTACCAAGAGCCATCAAGAACCGCTTCTGCTAAACAGCATTACTTGAGGCAGTCAAGATATTTACCTGGTAATAGATATTTAAAGACTTTACTTGAATAAAGTAGAGCTTAGTAGGACTGACCGCAGGACTTGGTGATAGTAGATATGTGATTTGTAGCAGGAATTAAAAAGCTAAAGTACTATTAAATCAATCTTCTGGCCATGAGTTGTCAAGAGAGCAATCTCTTCAGCCAAGTTCAGACTGAAGATTTGCAGTAAGATGAGTTGAAACTTGCAGCTACTTGCAATGTTTCGCTTTGCAACATTCTCAAACCCTGCCAGTTCACACCAAAGCATCTATACAAGAAGGTGTATCATCTCGATAGCAACGACTCTGTGTACGTCCATTCTTACTGCTTACTTTCAGACAGTTTGACACTTTGTAACTGACTTGACTACCTGACTCCCCTACAAGCTGATTGGCTGTTGAGACAGGTGACCTACAACCTTACGATTTTATAAGTCGCAGGCGATGCCGTCAGCTGGCTTGAATCGAGCTGAGACGGGTCAGTTCACACCACTGCAGCTGTTTCCTGTAACGTTGTAAAATGGCTTTTTTTGCTAATCTTTGCTAATCTTTTTAACACGTATGCACGTCAGCACGAGTGCAGAGATTTTCTCTGATTAGTCAAAGTGAAAAGGAGTTAAAACAGAAGTGTCATATTCTGAACTTTGGTTGTTTTCCTAATTTTAAAGTAAGTAACATAAAATATCTCCCCCCACAATAATGAACTGTAAAAGCTTCTTTTTCATGGCACCCTGAACTAATGATGCTTATAATCAGCTATTGTTTTTGTTGTGACACCAGAGAACATAAATAAACATAAACAACATCAGGTTTAGTAAAGTGCAGTAAGACCTGAAGTTAATAACCACACAGGCGTGAAAGTGCCCCAAAAATACTTGTAGTGTTATTTTCTAATAGTTTTTTTTTTTATTAATTTAATCTTTTTCAGGGTAGAATGTAATAATAATCTCTTTCTGTCTCCTTCAGGCATTAGTACGAAGAAGAACGTGGCCATAAATGCCAGTAAAGACTTTACTGGCAGCCATCTTTGGGGCAACAGTGCTATTCCATTTGGAGGGACTCTACCGAGCAGAGGCGCTCACGGTAAATCTCCCAGGACATCTCACACCTTGACCTCACTGCAATCTCTGCAGCTTCTCACTGTTGTTTGTTTTTTAATATCAGGTACAAATACAATCCCGGGCGGATACATGCCGTCATTTTACAAAAAAGACCTTGGTTCTGCTGGTCACCGGGTGCATCAGGGCCCTTCAGTGGAATCAACAGCATCAAGTGAGGATGACTCTCAGAGCTTTATTTTAACTCATATAAACCTTTTATTGTTCCCACTTAACAAACAAACAAACAAACCTGTTGTTCATTGTATTTTCATCCCTGTTTCAATGCTGTTTTTAGATTATGCAACATGGCAGTCTGGCCGGAGTCCGATGAACACCTCTGCCAACGTGCCGTTGGCCAACAAGAGCACCCCTGGTCTGCTGCCTCGCCCACCGGTACAGACCATCCACGGGCGAACAGACTGGTCTGCCAAATATGGACACCGCTAGTGCCCTCCCTGGAGCTCCGATCTGTGCCCCTGGAAGAGAGATCTGCGCTCCTAAGAACTCTTTCTCACCTCCAAAGAGTAGGCCTAGTTGTTTTATAATGAAAGAATCTGTACATACATCTTACACAGCAATAATTTGGTTCTTTTTTTTTTCATTGTGTGTATTATGGGTGTCGTGCGTTGTGAGAGATCTGTATGTGTATGTGTATAGCTAAATGCAACCAGCCAAAATTTGAGCCCAGATTTACTCCTCAGTGTTATAATTTGTATTTCTGTAACATAACTGCTGTCCTTACAGAGGTTACAACCTGTACCCTCAGTTTTGTATCAGATTTATCATTGAATGTTGTTCACCAACCTGTATACATAATATATGCATATTATACATTTATGAAAACTTCACTGTGACTTGTTTTTGGCTAACTAATTACTTTGCCTCTGTACAGTACAGTATTTTCTTTTCTTTCTTTTTTTTTTACATCCCTGCTGTAATTTGTTTTATGTGTAGCCTTATCAATCAGGTAACTTTTTATTTGTGCGTTTTAATGAAATTCAAGGCAGTGCTTTAATTTCAGTAAAAATTAATACAGTGCAAGTTGTTGCCACACTTTATGAATCTGTTTTTGGAAGTAAAATGATCTGAGTTAACATGTTCAACTCCTTTGGCCAAACTGAGTGTGATTATTGCCAGTTATTGAGTATAATTAAACTTTTGACTGGGTACCAATATGTTCAAGTTGTGTTTTTTTCTTTTGTGACACCTTTTTAAAAAATAAATACATTTTCCATGTGTGGATTAATCTGCTAGAGCTGTACAATATATACAGAATATAAAATTCATGTTACTAGAGTGAACACATAATGTAACAGTATAAAAGTATATAGTATATATTATGATTGAAATGGTGCAGTTTCATTATGAAATATAAGACGTGACAAACACGTCTGTAATAAATATTGTCATCCTTAATAATAATCATAATAATTATCAGTATGGTATTAAAAAGGTGGTGGAGATGACGGAATGAGTAGTATGTAGTTTAGGATTAGCAATAAAGAGATTTAATCAGTTTTTAAGGTAGCTTAATCAATACCGTTGATCTCAAACTGCCGGCCCTGGGGCCCCTACATCCTCCTCCCGTCGGTCTGTGACATTATGTCAAAAATACAATATAATCTGGGTCCCAAGATATCTTTTTCTAATTGTTTCATATAAATTTAAACTACCCTTTCATATACAATTAACATTTGAAAAAGTCATGATAATTTCCCTAATAAATTATATTTTTATACTTAAGTAAATCAGCATTGCATTCATTTAATTAATTCTTTATTTTTTATAATTTCATGATGAGACTTTTAGTGCAAATAAAAACATTTAATATTTTTCTATATTATTATTTTATTATTAAATATTGTCTTTATATATAGTGCAAATAAATAAAAAACATATACGTATAATATTTAAATAATTTAGATTTAGAATTTAAATGTTTTCAGAGGACAATATCATGAATATATTAATATAATATATTATTAATGTTGATGGTGATATTGTCTTTGTTTATATATAGTGCAAATAAATAAAAATAAAATACATTACTATGTGATTATTATATTATTATTAAATTATATTGTCTTTATTTATATATAATGCAAATACATTTTAAATAAAATACATTTATATATGATTATTACGTTATTATTTTATTATAGTTTTTATGTATATACACCGTAGTGCAAATAATATACATTTCTGTATGATTATTATTTTATTATTAAATTATAGTTTTTATGTATATATAGTGCACATAAATAAATAAAAAATCTACAAATAAGCTTTAATTAATTATAATTAATTAATTTAGAATTTAAATGTATTTAGAGGACAATATCATTAATATATGAATATAATAATAATATATATTATTGATGTTGATAACGTAAAAAGGAAGGCAGACTGCCACGTGCAGCGCCGCATTTGGATGTGTCTGACGCTTGGAGCTTAACTTCCCTACGTTTCTCCTACAAATGGGCCTTGAGCTTGTTTGGAGGTTCTAGCAGGGGAGCGCAGCTACTGGTGCACCGATGGATGGTCGTCCGCCGGGGGGGACCTCGTCCTCTTCCACCGAGCGCGGGGCTTCGGGAGGGACACACATGGAGCGGTGAGGGAGGAAGGGGACACCCGCCTAGCCAGCCAGATCAGCCGAATCAACCCTAGCGATCAATGGGGTGACAGATGTCGCAGCCAGATCGCCCTCACATCCACACAGTATGAGGAGGAGCCTCCATTATATACGGCTGACTGCAGCGCGACGTCTCTGTCATGGTGATAAATATCGATTATGTTCGCCATCATGTGTCCACGTGTCAACTCCACCTTATGTGTTTAATAAACATACAACTACATTAATACACCGAAACGTGCCTAAACTCGATGAGCTTCAACGATCAGAGTTGGTATTTAGTAGTTTTCCCATGATGTCTAGCGGCAAACTGTTAACAAGTCGAGTTTCTATTGGCCTGAATCAGCCAATCACAAAGCTTCAGATGTTTTTCCCCATTTCCCCCCCCGCCTCATCTACAATATTATATAACGACTTCAACTTTTCTTTCCCACTTCCACCCTAAGTCCTCCAGCTGCAGGTATGAACACCTCACCACACACACACACACACACACACACACACACTATGGGATATCACCAGAGACGTGTTTATTTAAAGTTTTATACCGACGTCGCAATGCATTTACAGTCAGTAATATTCACTCTGCTTTTTTTTGTAGATTCAGAGATTTAAAGTCTCACAATATTTAAAAACATGGCTGGAAAAGTTGTGCTGCACTATTTCAATGGGAGAGGGAAAATGGAGTCAATCCGGTGGCTGCTGACAGTTGCAGAAGTTGAGGTAAGTGGAGGGTGGGGTGGTGTTTTTAAAGTCTTTAAAGAACCTAAAACCTCCTGAATGTGCCCTAAATCTGCTCTATAATTTCAGTTTGACGAGGTGTATCTGTCAACTCGTGAGCAGTATGAAAAACTCCTGAGTGGTGAGTTAAAAAAAAAAGCTAAAAATCGATATCTGGCCTGTTTCCAAGTCACATGTTTGTATTTTTTAAATTTGTTTGTGTGTCAGCTGCAACCTTTATGATGACACAGCAATTTATAGGTGAAGGGCCTCAGAGGTATTTTGACCTGTAGTCATAGTTATGGTCACCCAGGGTAAATTATTACCCACTGGGAGTGCCAACCTGAATTACTCCTCCTGTCTCCTGCAGATGGAGATCTCATGTTCCAACAAGTTCCCATGGTGGAAATCGATGGCATGAAGCTTGTTCAGACAAAGGCGATCCTGAACTACATTGCAGAGAAGTACAATCTCCACGGGAAAGACCTCAAAGACCGCGTCATGTATGGTGCTTTTCTTTAACAGTGCAACAAAGCTGTTATGTAACCTGCAGGCGGTGGATGAATGTGTGTGTCTTTTCTCCACCTCAGGATCAACATGTACTCGGAGGGAGTGATAGATCTCATGGAAATGATCATGATTTTGCCCTTCAGCGCAGATCCTAAACCAAAACTGGACAACATTCAGAGTAAAGCAAAAGAGCGCTACCTCCCAGTGTTTGAAAAGGTACCACTCCTCTTGTCTTTACTGTATTATATATATATATAAAACCCTTTAAAGTTGTGATCTGATGATGGTTTATATGTGATCTTTGACCTCTCAGGCGCTGTCTGGGCCCATATACCTGGTGGGAGGTAAACTGAGCTGTGCAGATGTGCAGCTGCTCGAGTGCACCCTGATGTTGGAGGAGAAATTCCCAGGAATCCTCGCCGACTTCCCCAACGTGAAGGTAAAATGTGTAAAAAGACGGTCATATCAGTGTCAATACACAATACTTACGTTGGCGACTAATCCTACACGGATATGACCTTGACCTGTGTTAAGAATGTCACCAACATGATGCCAGACTAACTAAACAGCAGGATTTAAAGGATTAAATGACTCTATAGTCTATAGCATACCCCTACTTCTTCTTTTGGTTGTGTGGTCTTATTTATGTATTGTGTATGTAGCATATTTTAATATTTTCATGGATTTCCAGGATTTCGTGGGCTTTTTTGGGGGGATTCTTGCAGCCTGATTTCACAATAAAAATATTTCTTAAGCATTTTTTCCCCCAATAAAACTGCGTAAGAAAGTGGATTTTGTACCGTTTGGAGTAAATGCGAAATCTTCACAATTAGAAACAAGGATGTGAGTTTGGTTACACACAGCTCAGCATTTTGCTCCGATTTATGGAGAAGTTGTGGTGACTGAAGAAAAGGTCATTCAGTGTTCACATGGTTTGGTTGAATTTGCATGAAGTGGTTGAATGTGCATGAATTGATCTTCCTTGAGGGACTGTATTACGCTCATATCGGTGGCATAAAATGGTCTTAAAATGGCAATAATACAGTTTATCACAATTATTTCTGGGTCAACAAAAGTAGGTATCGTGATAGACACCCCTATACTGAATACTCTGTGTTTCCCTCCAGTCTTTCCAGGGCAGGATGACCCGGATTCCCGCCATCAGCAGGTTCCTGCAGCCCGGCAGCAAGAGGAAGTCCCAGCCAGATGAAACCTACACAAAGACCATCATGGAGGTGTTCAAAATCAAAATACCATTCCCATAAACTCTGGTGCATTCCTCACATTGGCAGTATGAGCGATTCATTACGCAAGCCTAGCCTGTACACCATGTGGATCGATTATATCTGCCGGTTTATGTTAAGATGAATACTGCACTATCTAGAACAAAATAAAATTTAGCATGAAAGGAGTCATTACGTAACATGTGTGAGTGATTTTTTAATGTGAACGTTTTACTAAATAAAGTGTTTATTTTTGAGGATCATTCGAGCAACTGATGTTTTTATTCCGCCTCCTATCACCAAAACCTTGTACATAAAGAGAGGAACATTATTTTGAAACTGATATTTGTTTAGTTTGCTAAAAAAAAAGCATGTGAGCAGTAAGAATACACATTTTTTATATTTTAATCTTGTTCCCTTTTTTCAGGCAATACAGAAATATTCCAACTTTCTAATGTTGATTGTTCAGCAGCTTGCAAAACTAATGTAGTAGTGTGTACAGTAAACAGGAGCACCACAAAGCTCACATACTGTACATCTTTTGTTCTGCCAACACTGAGTAAGTAAACTGAGATTTCATGCACATATACAAAAAAATAAGCAACAACTATTTGATTTACATAAGATCATCCCAGCAGATTTACCGCAATAAGATTAGTAGTTAATCTTAAATCTGTTAAACACCCACTGATAGCTTTTACAAGGTTTCTGGTCACATGAAAGATACAGATAAAAAACAGGATTTAGTATGCCAACTGGGAATGGTGTTTCCTTTAAAACAAGGGTTGTTCATTAAGAGACAGAGAGCCCTCTGTGTGGTCCGTATTGTTCCTCCAGTCACACCATGATGAGAAGCAACAGCCGAAACACCATCAATAAACTGTAAGAAAGGGGAAGCAAATAAAGAAAAAAGGATGAGTTCATAATTTGCTCAATTAACTTTCTCTGCATGTTGAAGCAAGTTTGACTCTGACCTTAGTCCGGACATGACGCCAGCAGGCATTAATTTTCCAGATTTCTTGTATCTCATTCCCATCACGAGTGAGAGGACTCCAGAGGCCACTGGAAGAAAGAAAAACACCACGATACTGGCTGGATGTTTTAACTGATTCTCTGAAAATCAGCATATTAGGAATGGGCTTAGCCATACTCACGCAATGAGACCTTGATATCCTTTGAGTCATGGGAGATGTTGTATGCACCATAAGCAGATAATCCACCAAAAACTAAACCAGCCATGAGGGACATCACACTGCCTACAATGAAACACAGACACATGATGATAATCAGGGATACTTTACTCAACCACTTAATAATGTGGTAGAGAATATTCTTTGGTTGAGCTCTCTGCCAAAATAAATACATAAGATCATCAAGTGTGACCTTTTCTCTTGTATCCCATGAATCCTCCTAAAGCGATGGCGGCAGCATAGCCGAATCCAATCCAGTCCACGGCCATCACAGAGCTGTAAACAGAGAGCAGAGGTTGTCAGGGATGTTCGGTATGTTGTACTCAGACTGTAAGATCTTCCCCTGCACACGGACGGCGACATCCACAGCCAGGTCATTGCTTGTAGAAAAGGGGGCTTATAAAGTTAGGTTGAAGTTTGACCAGCGCCCAGGGACAATAAAACTGCACCTGAAATATATTCAAACTATATTGTAATAGATCCCCAAGTCCACGGCTCTTCTGTCAACAGCACTGGGGTCTCTCCCTCTCCTCTTGTGCCATTAGCAGACTGTCAGTAGGTGAGGCCTGTTCTTCCTCTCTTGTTCTCTCTGGATCAGGATGTGGCTTTAGTTTATATGTAAATAGTTTGTTTGATCTTCTTTTTACAGATGTTTATTTTTTTACTTCAAATATACGATGTCCCAGTAATAATAATGTACAAAGTGTGTGTATGTAAATGTCCATTGTCATATTACAATCAGATCAGTTTGCGGTGATGCATTTATTGATCGAACGCTTAATAAATAAATAAGAAACAGTAACTCAAACATGGAATAAAATAATAATGAAAACTGACTGTGGTCAAAAGGGTCATTTCAATTTTGCATTCAGATATAAGCTCAGGCAACAGAACAGAGTTACTGAAACTAAGTAATAAAAATATATTTATAAAGTAGAATGAAAACAAAATAACTTTAATTTTAGAAAACTGTTCTTAAGTCTGGGACAGCTGAAAGAAAACACTGAGGAATAAAGTTAATTTCAAGCTCTGATTTTGGTGATGCAAAAACTGCCATTGCTATTTTTAAAGGGTTCCCTTGACCCCTGACCTCTAGATATCTGAATGAAAAGGGGTCTTATGGGTACCACTGCGTCTCCCCTCTGCAGACATGTCCACTTTATGCTAATCACTTGTCATCTTTTGGAAATAAACCTCGAGGTCTTGGTGTCTTAACGTGGTATTTTGAAGGGATCTTGGACCATTTTTTAAAACTATTTTTCGATGATCAAACATGGTCGAATTTTGCATCAAATCTGTGTAATAAATCATATCAGTTATTAAACATAATAGAACCTGTGAATGGCCATCATATACTTAATAATTTATACTTAATAATATACCATAATATCCTGCACTCTTAATTTCCAATATTTTAATTATAACTAGAATAAAGACCCCAAACATACTGGCAATATTATTCAATTATAAAAAGTATACATACAGTAAAACCATATATTATCCCCTTTCAACTAACATTTAAAACCACATTATAATGTCTGCTAACGTTTCAACCAGCCTAACTAGGATAATAAACTAATTCTATTACAACACCAACAAGTTGACCTCTCCTTCAACCTTTCAGTACAATATCAGGAGTATATATAAATATATATATATATATATACACCAGCAAGCAGCCTGACAGGTCTGTAGATGTCGCTGTGAGACCTTTAAAGACTAAATCAACAACAGAAGACGCGTTTAAAACAGACCTACAGGAATATTCACGCTAATAATTTACTTAATGAGAAGCAACGTATTGTTAAATTATCATTATTATTATGATACTGTTCTTTGTTTCGTCTTGCCGTGTTACATACCTTGAGTCCAAAGATATATGTAGTTATAGACTGTCAATGGTCCCAACATGCACCAGCAGCCCTTACAAACGTTTCCTTCAGTCTGTGACAGCCCTTCCGTGTGCCTGCCCATAAACCCCAGTACGCATGCGCCATCATCTTATGCGCGGTTCGCTGACTTTTGATAAAGTTGGAAATTCAGAACATTAAAGGAATAATAAATACCGGGAAATGGATTTTGATTCACAATATATATATTTTTTTTAAATCACATTAAATTGTATCTAACTGTCCTTGCAATGTATTCATACATAATTTCTTATTTTTAAAAATTAAAAATAAACAAAAAGCCAATAAACATAGTGTTGAAAAAGGTTGTGTTGTTTATCTGGGAGAGTATTGCTTTTGTCCTTATCTCAGAAAGTTATTTTTGAGTTCATTTTTGAATATTAAGTCGAACAACTCTCAAACAAATAATTGGTAGAGGTAAATATCCCACTGAGAAACCCAGAAGCCCAAACTCTGTTTTGTGTCAAACTACAACTTCATATAATTCCATCTTTAGTAACCATCAGACCCCATTTCACGGTGTGCAACAACTAACTACAATACATATATTTATATATTGTTATATATTACATATATTGGTGGGAGACACATAAGATATTGCAGGTGTGTGCATCAATCATCTTCTGTACCACTAAATATTTTAAAACATTTAAAACTGCAGACAGGTAGCATTATTTAAATATAACAGTAATGGTTGGTCTGTGTGTTCCTCTGCTTACATTAAAGCTGCCATTTGTACTCACAGGGCAGTAAGTGTGGTGTGGAGGTGGGTGGTTAATATGGACCCAAGAGCAAAATTTAATCTGGCCATGATCTGTCAATCTGGCAGTTTAAACCCTTTGACCTTGGGTGACTCAAGTTTCCAAACATGAAAAGCTGTTCAGCATAAATTAAACACAAATATAAAATCATGCATAAGGCATCATCTGTTACGGACAAAAACAGCATCTTAGGGATACAAGTTTAACTAAGTCAGCTTGTTTTTTGCCCAGATCAGTAAATGCTTAGTGATCGTGCATCTTTTAATAACGAATAATGATTGATATTCAGGACAAGAAGACAACAGAGAGAAAACTTGACTCTCCCTAAAAGAAAACCCCTTTATTTCACTCTGACCCCCCATTTCCAGAACTTACACACATTAAAGGTTTCATCATTCAATAATAGTTCTCAAAAAGTGTAAATCAATGCATTCTTAGAGCAAAATAAGCCACTATGAACTGTAGACAATGTGACCACATGCTGCAGAGAGCAGTAGCTCCAGCAGAGCGTCTCCATGCAGTCACCTGGTGGAAAAGAGCCACTGTAGCCCTCTGTGAGAGGGCTGAGGACCAGCTCCTCCAAAGAGAAGGCACACATTTCCAAAATCCGTTGGCATTTAAATACTGTCTACATAGAGTTTCCTGATGAGTTACAGTCTGATCTTGTCAGGATAAAAATGACTATAAAATGGCTGACAAGGGTCATTTAAGAAGGAAGGATTATTCAAGTGAGGTATTGGAGCGACATGTAAAAACCATGAGATTTACTGTACCATCAACATGAGGAAAAACATATAAAGACTAACTTTAGAGGAAGACAAGACAGCAAATATGTAAAGTGACTTGTGGAAAATGCAATGGTTTCATTCACAGTAAACAACAACGATGGACATACAGTGCATTTAACAATACAGTGATAGTTATAATACAAATGGCTTTGAGAGCACAGGAACCTGTGATATACTGTTAACATGGCTTTGTCAGCTTTTTGCTAGGCAGATACTTTCATGTGAACTGTAACATAGTATCCAGAGTAACAAATTGATATAAAAGTTATGGAACAATTCTAAAAAGAAAATCAAATTATAAACGTATTTAGGCCCCAAAAAAAAAAGAAAAAAGAAAAGACATTAAGTTGATTTGTTGTCATCCGGGCTGGCATTAAAACAAGTATTGCTCAACATAAAACACTTTTAGAACATCATGGACAATACACCAGGTTTTGGCAAAAGATTGACATTAACATTAAAGCCATATTTTACATTGATAGAACATTTGCCTTTTTAACATGCATTCCTCTATGTGTGAGCTCGCTCTGGCATCATCAATGACGAGGACTTTGCTCTTAAATGCACAATAGATTGCATTTTTAAAAAGGATGTTAATATTAGTAAAAATCAAAATCTT